ACATAAAATTCAACATGAGTTTCCTGACATCACCACCGAGGGAGAAATTCAACACCGGCAAGGAAAAAATGTTTTCTTGGCTCTGAGCTCTGGGAAGAATCAGTCATAGAAGAACAGAATATCCGCCATAGAATTTTTATCATTATCAGCTTCTCCTTTCGTGGATCCGATAGTAAATGCTAAAGGTGTAGGATTCTGCAGTTCTGAGGGGAATGGGGGTGGTGAGCAGAGATGATGAGTGACTGGAGAGGTCCTCTTGGCCCCCCCCGCTTTTGGCAACATGAATGAGCAAAAATCACTTACCTGGGTCTCAGCTTCCTCATCTGTAAAAGGGAAAGTGGTAACAGCACCACAGGGTGGTTGTGGAGATGAAATGAGGCCATTTGTGTTTAGAACAGCACCTGACACAAGTGTTGGATTTGGCTTATTTGTGAGGGCGCTACAGGAGAGATTGGCAATAAGGCCTTTGGGCCAAATCGTCAGTGTGTGAATAAAGCTTTATTAACACAACAATATCCATTCTTTTATATAGTGTCTACGGCTACTTTCATGCTACAGAGTTGATTAGTTGTTACAAACTACATAGCCTACTCAGGCCCAAAAGTTTACTATTTGGTCCTTGAGAGAAAAAACTTGCCAATCCATGGACTAAAGGAGGATTGGCCCGTGTCATGTCTTGTATGGCAGTTCTGGGGCTTTCCTAACCCTCCCTCCAGTCTTCCTTCCTATATAGCACCTCCCTGGGAATGAATTTTCAGAGTGGTAGCTATAGCACATGGTCTGGGAGGCTCAGTTGTTTCAGGGTTTCCTAGGCCATGGGAAAGTGGAGGCGGCTGAGAGAACATACCATCAGTATTCTGGGCTACACGGAGCCAGCCCGCAAGGGGATGCCCAGAGGCAAAGCTTTTGTTTAGCACATACATTAATAAACACTGTAAGCCACTCCTCTGTTCCACTTCATGAAGCTCCCTCAGTCTGGAGTGCAAGGCAATTCTGCTATTGACTGATTAGCAGGTGGTGTCAGAATATGTAAGGGATCAACGAGGCAGGGGCATGTCTCAGCACTTTACTGCTTCTCAGAAATTCAAGGAGTAAACAGATTCAACCTGAGGCTGAGCATCACTGACTCACGGAAAGCCTGGGCTGATTTTCTAGGCACAGGTCTGGCCTGAATGTGCCCCCTCAGCAGCTATGAAGCCATGATCAGGTTGACACCTTAGTAATGTTATCTAGAGCGAAATTTTGATCATGGGAAATGTATAGGATATCTACAAGATTTTCTGCTCATATAGCAATTAACAGCCACAGATGGTATTTTCCGGACAACAAACATATAGCGAAGTAAAATATGCCAAATGAGAAGAGTGTAGCTAACCAGCATTATCTTCATTATATTTCATACACCAACAGTTTTTGTTAACACATCTTTCTATCTCAAGCTCTTGGTTGAGAATCAGATGGCAAATAGCAACTGCCTTTGATTGGGTAGTCTTTTCTACAGACCACATCCTTGCTACAGGCAGCAGAGACAGCTCAATTCCTTCCACCCATGCCTGACCCTCCATAGGTCATGACCATCACTAGCTCCACTTCAACAACAGATAGGGCTTTCATTGGTTATCAGCTACTGTGCCTCAGGGGGCCATGCAGGGCACCTTTAGGAATGTTCTACAAAGTTACCTCTGGCAGCCTAAGGCTATCTATACAATGTTCTAGAACAGTCTAGAATGTCTACGGCTTGGTAAAACCAAGACCTCACTAGTCAAATCCAGCCTGCTGTTTTGTATAAAATTTTATCAGAACAGATCTGCTTATTCCTTTTGGGACTACATGGCCATTTTTACATTATAAAATAGCATTTATATTATTACATTTGCAACTATGGCTTACACAGCTTAAAAAATTTCATGTCCAGGCCTTTATAGAACTTGTAGTCTCCTGCCTTGATGAGAGGACAGCTCATTAAAACATGCCTTAAACCAGGACACAAACATTTGGAGGTGTGTTTTGAGATTCAGCAACCGACTAGTATTTCTGGCTTGGGCAGCACTGCTAGTGTCCGGATTTTTTGATGGGACAGTACTTTAGGGGCTAGGAGACTTAGTTGGCTAAAGACTCCTTTTCCGAGTCTGCCAGAGCTCTGCGTTGCATGTCTGGAAAGTGAGCAGGAAATGCAGACCTGGAGCTCCCTCCTCTGTTCCTAACACTCTCCTGTTAGCTTCTAGAAATTACAACATCCTGTTGCAGTTAGCTGTCAGGCTTTAATTCTCTGAGGGCAGAAACTAGATGCTACTGATTTTGAACTATTTGCCCCTCTTAAGCCTAGGGTTCACAAGATGTCTTACCCAATGCGGGCAGGTATCTGTTGTGGGTGAAAGGAGCTGTCTGTTTCCATCAACGCAGGTGACTTCCACATAAGAGTTGTGGTTACTGTCCACAAGGAGTTCCCAAGCTAACTTGGGACACAAAACAGAATTAGAAAATAAGAATATTTACTAACCGAGGTAGCCAAATGAAAGGTATGGACCTCTGCAGACGGCACCAGGTTAAGACGAGCTGTGTGGGGAAAATACACAGCCTTAAATGGGCAGGAACCAGATTGTTTAAAGGCGGTCTTCTCAGTGATCTTCCAGGAAGAGAATGAGCATTCTGTCTGCGCTTCCCGTTCTTTAAAAACGGGGCACACCAAACCCAAGCCACAGAAAGACTCTGTGGGCAGTTGATGTTTTTAAAGCACCACCATGTGCTTCTGAGGTGCAGCCAGGATTTATAGCTTCTTTGCCTCAGCAACCCAAGCACAACAGAAAAAAACTGTTGGACTCTCAAGACATTTTGGACAAGAACTTGACTAGAAGACATTCTCTTCTCATCCAGGGACAATTTTTAATTTACAGTTTAACTTAACAGGAGGGAACAAAAAATACATAAATGCACAAGGAAAACAGTGGCTTCTCATACAACCCCCACTGGAGAGAACAAGAGACCTAGAGGGGAAAGCAAACACATCGAATTCTCAATTCCTTCCAAATAGCAGTGATGCCTTGCAACATGGCATTTTCAGAAGGAAGGCACACCTTAAAGTGGCCATGCTCAGCATGGCCTTGAAACAAATGAGATAGCATTAGCACATCTGCAATTTCTTTTTTCCAATCCACTCTAGATGAACTGGTTTTGAAGGGACCTAGCATTGGGTCATTATTTCCAAGTTAGACAACATCACCCCAAGTAACAGTGGCAAGGCTCCTAGGAAGTATTCCTGGGGCGCAGCTGCTCCAAGCTCAGTGGAAGTATCTTTAACTGTTCCCCTTGTACTTTTCCCTGCTCCCATTACGAAAAGTCCCAAACTCTGGAATTAAGTGAGGGTAACGTGCCTCCCATGATATCTGACCCAAGGGGCTCAGGATAGTAGTACATTCTCTTTAGGTGATCAAGAACTAGGAAGTCCACAGCAGGCCTTTGTCAACTCAGCTGCTCAGAGAAGACAAATAAAACCACCGTGAGAAGAAAATGTCTTTCCAGAGACAAAATCTGAGAACACTGGACTGTGCAAACTTCCAGCCTAACAAGTTGATGAAGGGAGAGCAAAGGGAGTGCTAATTTAAAGACAACAGTTGAGTTCACAGAACAGGAGGGCAAATGATTTTAGATCAACCAGCAGGGAGTCTGGTGAGTGGAAGAGGGAGAAGTGACACTCACAGGACATACCATTAGAGCCTAATGTCAAATGACCGTGAATGCTCAACAGTTGAGAAGACATAGCCCAGGATAAGGTCCAGGTTTGGCCCACACCCCAGGCCCAGTGTCCAGCAACAGCCTGAGTTCTTCAAGTTTCACCAAGACGCCTTCAGCTTGAACTTTTGTTTTCTACCTGAACACTGTAGGGAATAGCCAAGATCTCCCCCAACCAACTTTCTACTGTTACACGAGTACTTATCAACTGACTGCAATTTATCTACTCACATGCCTGTTTCCCACACTGGATGTACACTTCTATTCATCTTGTTACCTATAGTGAGACCTGAACCAGGTATGCAGCCAAGCTGGTTGCTGGATGCACAAATGCTAAAACTGTCAATGTGAATGCAAACACTACATCTGAAATAAAAGAAAGTAACATCAGAAAAAAAACAAAACAAAACCCTGAAATACAACATCATACATTGATTTTATCCAGAGAGCTGGCGACCCCTCCAAAGGATGAGGTTGAGCAGCTCTGGAATTTAAATGGGAACTACACTAGTTGTCTTGTGACCAGAAACAGTAGACTAGATGGGACAAAGTCCTAAAAGGAGATGTAAGACATGGGCCTGAACCAGGAAGCCATGACCTAGTGGCAAAATCTTCACTGAGGCTTTTTTTTTTTTTTTTAATTCTATGGGTTTTCCTCATTTCTCTCCTTAAAAACAATTTTTTAAAAACCCAAGACTAGGGACCTCCCTGGTGGTGCAATGGGTGAAAGCACAGCATTAAGAAGCTAAAGCCACTTCAGCATGTGTTTGACCCCCCCACCAGCCCTGGAGGTGATCCACATGGCGCCGCAGACCTCTCCTGACCCGCCCGCTGCTCCCCTCAGCAGTGTACTTTGTCAGTCGGCCTGTTCTGCTCCCTACTCTGTCTCTGGTGAATCCTCTCACCACCCCTGCACCTCTGGCCTGTACCCTAGTTCTGTATGCATAAATAAATAAATCTTAAAAAAAAAAAAAGACCAAGACTACAAATAAATAATCCTTCTTCAGATTACTGCTTAGCATTTAAAGACAGAAACTTGTTTAAGAAACAAAATATAACAACTTAATGTAGCACAGGCACATTTCAACAATGGGAGTCTGTGATAAGAAATCAAAAACAAAACACTTTTACTTTATTTTTTTTTCCTCAGAATGGTAGTGTTGCAAATTAGAGAATTCTCGAAAACACACACACGCACACAAGCGTGCGCGTGGCCCATAGTGTTCTGAACCAGATGAGGCATCAGGGAAACAACCACTCAAGCACACAAGTGGCATTTTGTGATCAAATTTATTTTTTGTTTAAATTTCATTTACTTTGTTTTACTGTAATTTACACGAGAGACTGCCAAGTAAACTAGGTATTTTACATTCACCACACATTCCCTCAAATCTCCACAGTTGTTAGAAAAACATTAAAATCCATGCACCGGGCTCTCATTTCCATGTGCGCCTAAGCTCCCAATGATGCTACAGATGCCAACGAGAGTTAAGTTCATTAAATGGAGAGGGCTAGACTTTTTATTTCACAAAATTAGCAATAATCTTCCTCACACCAAACACTTTGCAGACAATGATTATGCTTTGACAAAACCTATCTTACAACAGTGTCCGGAGAGTAAACGTCAGTTGTGACCCTGAGTACACAAGAGGACATCCGCACGCACTATGAGGTTTTCTGCGGAGGGTAACAGGGCATCGTAACGCAGTAGTGATCCTAAACACCCTTGTCTGAGTCACTGCAATCACTTCCGTGGGGACACAGGACATGTGGGGAAACGAGGAGTGGGGACGGCAGGCCTGTCAGCAAATCAGATTACTAATGTGATGTGACTACAGGGGCTGGCATGTTCCAGGAGGGATGATCGGTTAAAGAAGACAGTTTGTGACCTGAAGGCTTCAACAACATCACTGCATTCAAGCTTCTAGGACTGACAGGAGAAAAACGGGATCTGGACAGAGAAGGCTGATACAAATCTCACCTAGCTATTGTTTCTTTTTCAAAAAATGGGGGACAAAACATGGCAGCAGCTTGTAACCAGCAGTTTTCCTGGTGCTTATTCAGGACATGCTCCAAAGACATCCTGCTCAAGAGCACTCTGAGAGGGAGGAGGCGCACTGGCCCTCAGCAGGGCCTCTTCCCTGTGCGGGCCAGCTTTGCGCTGCGCCTGAAAATTTCCTATCTCAAAAGTCAGCATCTCGCCATAAAGTGTATTTCAACAAGAAAAAGAGCAAAACATCTTCACTGTCTATATTCTATCGTGTGAGCTGTGAGTAATCTACATCATTTGCATAGTTTCCAAGCTGTAATTTCAGAAAACAGTCATTTCAGAAATAAGACTCCGTGTGGAAGTGCTGTACTTCCAATTTCTCTAAACAGCCGACAACACTATTAATTTCTTCATCAATTTCTTTGTTTGTCTAACAGAAGCCTGAAAATTGTACAGTGTTTATTATAAATCACAAGCCATCATCTCCATTTTTGCTAGGTTTGATGTAGAAAAATATTTGAAATTTAAAATACAAAATCCAATAAAAACTGGAATTTTTTTTTTAAAAGGATTCTTCCCTAGGGGCAAACAAGTAAAAACTGGCCTATAATTTTACTCTTTACTAACAGATATTGTCCAACTGGCTGTAAGATAATAACCATTCAGAAATAAATCGTTATAAATACATTCAGAGTTTACATTCTGGATTCACTGGAATACTAAAAGCTTTTGAGTAAATTTCTCTGTGGGAGTCTGTTGCTTATAGGACTAAAATAAAGATTTATAAGAGACTGATTTAAAAGAACAGAAAAGTAATAAAAGTCTCTATATATATATATTGGTCCACAACTTGACATTTATGAGACATACCAGCTAGTATTACATTGCAGTCAATTTGTCCATGAATGGTATTACTCTGATAATTATTAAAATTTGTTCCAGGTATATATATTGAAAATATTTTCTTTTGCATTCTTGCTGAAGATAGGTACAGTACTTTGGAGAAATTGTACTAATCCCTTCAGTATGTTTGTATGTACATATATACACAAGTGTGTGTATTCTAATCTGTAGCTCTACATGCGCTTTATATACAGCCACAGATATATATACACACACAAACATATATACACACGTGGTTGGGAACCTGTGCATGTGAGCTGTTAGCACAAGCACACATCTGGGAACATCAACACTGCAAGATACTGTTCAGATTCTTCTTCACTCATCACTGGCTGCACTTGTTCCCCTCACTTGACCTTGATTACGTAACTGTAAGAAAAAATAAAAGTGCAACGTGTTAAAATACAGAGAAATACGATGTTAGTCTTAAGAAAGAAAAAAAAAAAGTCATCATTACAGCAAAACCTATAGCAAAAAGGGTACTGATGACTACATTTTAAATATTTAACCTTCTGAAGACTCTGGTCTCACTAGTGCAGTGGTTTAACACTCTGTTTCATCAGAGGGAAAATAAATTAGAAGCAGAAATAAATCACAGAAACTTAGAAGAACTTAACAAAAAACAGAAACTTAAAATTTTTAAATGAACACTGAATTAAAGAAAGGGCTCTGGAGGAATCCTGGCCAAGTTCATTCATTCTTGTTGGAATAACTATTCTCCTTACAGCTGAACACTATCTCTCCTGTGTTTAATAATTAAAGAGCAGGTAGTGCAAGTAAGGAATTTTCAGAGAACCATGGTGGACTAAGAAGTGTTCAATTTTGTTCTTTTCCTAATACTGTAGCTAGAGATTAATGATGATCCAATATTAATAACAACATTCTGTCAAGTTTGGTTTATTCACACTGATTTTAGTGGTGGGGATTCTGAGGCTCTTTTTTGCCCCTCTAGGTAAACCTCATCTGGGCATATAAATTTGTATTAGAGAAATAACACTGCAAAAATGTTTCATAGTATAAATGAAAACCAAAGTGTATGCACACATATTAAAGCTAACTGTAAAGATAAGTGGAGATTCAACACGAAGGACAACTTTCTGGTGTTCAGGAACAGTTTCAACTATGGAGCTTGGCCCTTGTGGTATGGGATGAAGGATCTTAGTAAGACTTAAAAAGTTTTTAATGATTTCCTTATTACTCACAAGTGGTCCTATTGAGAAACTGATCAATTAACTGGTTATCAATGAAACAATCAGCTATCTTCTAGGCAAAACTACATGATGACTAAGTGCAGCTGGCAGCAGACTTCTAACCTCAAACTCTAGGAACTAGCTTGTGATCACTACATGCAACCTTGTTCCACACACAAAATCTTACAGGGCAACAACTCTAGTGTGTACTGTCAATTTCTAAAATATATTATCTCTTACATGCTGAAATTTAAACTACATTTAACACTTAGGCTCTGCTCAGCAAGTTAACTACCCATTATACAAAAGGTGTTGGTTTTTAAACATTCTTTTTACCCAGGTCTTCACTTACACAGTTTGATATTGTCTCTGACCCTACAGGGGACTCATCTAGACATCAGCAGCCGACGTGCCTCGAACGGAACCCTTCTTACGCATCTAAACGTAAAATAAAATCATGAGCTGCTGAAATCACAGACTCTAAATTGGGTTAGCAAGCAAGGAGAGAAAGATCTAGAAGAGATTGTGAAGTGGCTGCTGTGTGTTTGTAACAACACACACATGGAAAATGAAGTTCAGTGGCACCTCTAGGAATCTTGGTCAAAGAAAACCTTGCAAAAGGCTTTTCTTACACAGCACACACACACAATTATCTATTCTTGAATCCAGGAAACAAAAATCTGCACTGTTGATGTAGAATTATCAAAGACAGCAATGGGAAAAGAACCCTTCACCAATGTACTGTGAGAAAATGCCCAATGGTATGGTTCATGTTTTTGCAGTCCTCAGACTAAACCGGGGGCCAAGAGAGATGGCACCTCGGCTGCTTCTGAGACCAGGGTCCCTCAGAGGCATTTTTTATATTGATAAGAAGTTTACTGGAAAGGGCAGAACAAAAAGAACAAGTGAGCACAGGAACAATATGAACTACATAAGGATGTGTTAGAACGGATACACATACAAAAGAGCCTACAGAAAATTAAAACAAAAAACAACCAAAACTCAATGAGAAAATTAAGACTAGATGACAAAGGAACAAATGCAATAAACACTTCTAAAACTCAACACTTTCTTCCCACCCTCCACAGAAGTGCCAATTGAGAACACCTGACAATGTTTCCTAAAGTATTTCTTCAGTTGCTGAGTCTAACCCCAATATTTCTTCACAGAATTACAGACAGAAACATTCCTCTTTAACTAACCTCTCAAGATGTTCTTCCTTTCCTTCAGGACCAAAACTATTTGAAAGAAATTAAATTCTTAAATATTTATGAGTTAAAAATTATAATGTATTAAATTCTGTCATCAGGTATTAGGATAAGAAGACTTCAAAACAAAGCAAAACAAAAAACTATGAACAAAATGGGACATGCCTCCGTGGTGAAAAGAGCTTGAAAATGTTAAGCTTTCTAGAAGGGGTTTTGACCTGCAGGCTTGATGCTGCCCACATTCTGGAAGCTCATAAACCCACTGTTAGGGATGCCAAGCAGCAGTTTTGTGGAAAATAACACTATTCATCAATGACCTAGAGCAAGATAAATGGGATTTTACATCAGGATGATCAGCTCTTACTCCTAAAATTTGTCTTCAGTCTTGAAATATTTAAGAAAATTCATGGGCCTTCAACCCTAACCAATAATGAATTTCTTCCAACTTCATGGAGATTTCAATGAGTTTGAGCCACGTGGATACAATAAGGATGACCACCTTCAAAAAAACTGGGCTTCTGTGTACTGTATTTTCATCTTTTCCTGCACAACTCCCCACTCACGAATAACTGACTCACACGGGGAAGCGGCTGGCCCTGCACGACAACTGCCGTTAAGTGGGAGCAAGAGTTGCTGTTTTCTCATTGGGGAGCTCCCTGTACTGACAATGGCACTGTACTGAGCTCTGGTACAGGAGGAAAGAAAAAGCACAACCTGGGCCAACAGAGGACATAGTCAAATTCTCTCCAAGGGGCCTTGAGGCAAGCACGATCAGAGTGCCAACCAGGGAGGGCTTCATTCACCATCCTTCAACCATAACCACTTTCATCATGTTATGGGCACGTAGTTCTTCAGCATATGTATTAAAAACAAAAGGCCTCCCTCCCTGAGAGTCTAAGTTTGATAATAAAAAAGAAACAATTCTGGTTTCTCTAGTATTGCCATCTCCTTTTTGGTGAGCTTAGACAATGAGTATAAATCGTGCCACCAAGTTTCTCTAAGGACTTGAGTAGCAAGAGGGAGAGAAACTAGGCAAGACAGGGGAAAAGGCACCAAAGCTGAGTGCCGTAAGGGTGCCTTTTAAGAGCAGGGTCTCTGACCCTTCAGATGGAAAGACAAAGTGGGTGTGAGGGATGAAAAGAAAGGTAAGAAGTGACCATGACTTGCTCTTGCCTGTTCAAGTGTTCTGCCTGAGATTAAGTCTAAAAAAAGAGGATGAGGGAGTCTTCCAAGCTTGCCATATGATTACCCTAGTCCTAAGACCAATACTCAGAGTCATACTACCACATTAAGAACATGAAGTCAAAGAGGCTTCCACTGGCTGGCCTAAACATCAAACCCCAATTTATAACATTGTCTCTCTGGGAAAACATGCACCAATCAAACAAATTTGAACTTAAAATTTTTGGAAGAAAATCTATTCATAAGCTGGAGACTGTCTCAAGTTTACTTTATGTATAAGATAAGGTTAAAACATTTTATTGCCTTATAAAGAAAATATGTCCTAGTCCTCTCCGAACGTTTGTATAAAGCTAATTAGAAGCAGATCTGCTGTAATCACCAAAAGTAAGCAATTTTAAACACAGATTCTTTACGATGCGATGTGCCAGACAAATAGATTTCCTTGTGTGCCAAAGAACCTGATTTGCTGCCATTCTCCTGTGATTAAATAGAGTTCCTGCCTCACACACAGGCATTCGTCAAACACTCTCGCCTGCAGGGCTTCCAAAGCTGGGACTGCTGGCAGAACTCTAGATGACTGCATGGAAACCACGAGTCTGTCCTGAACATTCCTTGGGTTCATTACCCCATGGGGCCTTACTTTCAACTAAAAAGAAGTGTAGCCCAGAGCAAAAGCAAAACCAGATATGTGCAAAAGAAAGTCAGGGAAGAATCTGTCCTGGAGAGACTGAAGAGGCTCAGCCTGTGGCAAGTAAATGGTAGGAGGCTTTAGCTGAAAGGCTGATGCTGATCCCAGCACCAGGTTCACAGGACTTCTGCTTGATGCTAATGAGGAAATGAGGACCTCAGCTAGTTGTGCGAGGAGAAGAAGCATTTCTGCAATCAGTGACAATAACATTAGCCTTGTCTTTCCTATAGAAGAGGGAATTAGGACTTGCTGTGCATACATTAACAACTTACTGCGTCAATAAAGTGAGCCAAAGACAACTTGGTCCGATAAAGTGAAAGATAAAAGGACTCTGAACCAGGTACCATCACAGAGAAGAAATGCATGAAAAAGAAAAAACCATTCCAGGAAACTAATTCTTATCAAGAAAGCTCAAGTCTACTTTCACGAAAGATGCTTAACAAAAAAGAAATTGGAACATGAGAAGGGATATTGTTAGTACCTAAGAAACTTAGTTTGGGAGGACATATAGATTAGAAATGGTTTTTAATAATACTATTCTTCACTCTAAGTCTACATTTACTAAGTACAAAGTTTGAGAAAGGGGGAAATTAAGAGGATTTCTACAGAAAGGGAAATCTTACTGTTTCTAGTTCTTTCTGTGTTTCATCTTCCATTCTTCTAATGTCTTCCATTGTCAGATCAATCCACTTGTCAATCCAACAAAAAAGCTGGCGGTGAAAGTTTGTAAATATCCTTTTTTCTTGCTTTAAAATAAAGTAGGATAAGGCAGCAAAAAATAAAATAAAATAAGATTAATAACATTTGGTTTGACAAGAATATTCAATGACAATCAGAGGAAATCTTAATTACCTCTTATTTAACTAAATAAAAATTTCCCTATGAAAAGTGAAACATTCTCTACCAGAAAATAAAATATTTGTGCATGTCCAGATTCAACATAAACTCCTGCTGAACCTGATTTATTTTTACCTTTTACTAAATGTCAGTGACCAAAGGTCAACTCAATTTTTTTTCTGCTACAAAACTATACATTGTCATTCTTAATTTCTCTGCAATTCAAAAGCATACTGTAGGTAGAATACAAAACGTACTGAGAGAAATGAGTCTTGGGTTCTTTGAAATAATTCTTAACAATTAAGAATTATATGTTCTCATTTAATTTCCTACTCCAATGTTACTGCTATCACATATATACTAATAAGCTCATGTAGATAATTACTGGTTTTAATTTTTGAATTATTTAGTTTTTACTTAACTTCTCCCAAGAGAAGAAAGTGCAATGAACAATGAGTATTTCAGTACTTTTGAACAATTTTCAATATTTAGGGTTTTTTCCCCCCACAAACAGAAGGGACTTCATCAATTATATGTGCGACTTCTATTTATCAGAACTGGATTGTTAATGTATGATTATGATCCAAAAGGAAGGAAGGAAGCCAAAATTTAGAGTGACTACTGTGGCCCAACTGCAAGCAGACCCAAGAATAATCAAAGTTTCCAGGACTCTTAAAAGATCTTTTTTAAATAAAACGTTGCAGCAGTTATAGTTTTAAGACGACGACAAGTTATGGGAAACTCAAACACAACTAGTCACAGGTTCAGTGATACAACAGGGGGCTTCTTTATACTGACTACTACTTGGAGGAAAAGCAATGAACAAACTCTGCATGTTTACAACCATGTGCATTTATACAACCGCAACCCCCACCTCCATCACACTGCCCATGTTACTTCTATTGAGATGTAGAAGTAAAACAAAGCAGTCATTACTGGATCCCCAGATCATGTCATTCTAGGTCCTATTCTCAGTCATGGCTGCTAACGAAGATGTCACATAAGAAAGTGCAAAGCACACAAACAAGGTGTACTGTCAGGGAAGATTTGTGTGGAGGGCAGTGTGAAGGCAGACTTGCCCCTCAGCCCGAGGCCTACCTACCCTCTCCTCCAATGTTGGAGCACCAGGCTCCTTAGGGCTCGCTAAGAAGAGCTGGGCAAACTTTCAGGGAAGTCTTTTAAACACAAAAACGCTATGTTCTTGCCCAAAGTCAGCCTCTTGTCTTTGCGTTTGTGGGGGGTAGGAGGGACGCGTGATAGCAGAAAATACACCATTAGTAGTAATCGCAACTCTTACCTAAATTTAAAATCAAATTTGGAATAGACTTTACCTTCTGAATGAAGTTCTCTACTTTGCTTTGCAGTCCCCACCACTTGAATTTGATCGTCACCAGTTTATAGGCACACATCTGAGGACAGTCAGTGTTGTTTGCTAGTTCCTTCTAGATGAGGAGAATGGAAAGAGAAAAATCGTGACTTAAATTTTTATGTTTTGATTAAAATTGACTGTTGGTAACAACATCACAGACATACATGAAGAAAACTACAGTCTCATATGTGTTTAATTCAGGTATTTGGAAATTCCAAATTGTTTTAGTAAAAGCAGCGATATTCCCCTACTGCAAACTCTCCTTCCACAGATGTAGTTACATCCTGGCTCTACAGTTTAATCGGTACATTGCTCTGCCTCAAATTACACTATTCAGATCTCATATTAAATACCAAATTCTGTTCACATCCTATCAGTAGTGAGTCTTTAGTTTGTAGGAGTTTTCCTAACCTCATTATCACACTCCCATTGTGGACACGGTGAGTTGCAATAAAAAACAGTGAGGCGGACACTGGCAGGTAGAGAGGTACTGTATTTTAACGGAGGGATTTTCAATGGAAGGGGTATGCTGAAAGGCATGCAGCAGCAAAAATAACCTATAACTATCAAATATCTGAAGGCAAGTCCCACACACATCTGGACTTTAATTTCGCCCAGTGATTACTTCAGAGTTTAAGTGGTGTAGTTAGGGAATCAAATCTTTTGTTGTCAAAAGAAAGGGAAAAAATATTTTTTTTAATTTGTTTTTAAAATAAGGTAGAGAGGTGGAGCAATTATCTGAATTGAAAGAGACAAAATATAATGTTTGTGACTTATTTTCAGAAAAAGTTGTACCCTTAGCTTATTTTACTGTAGGACATAAAAATGCACTTTTGAGTTTTTAGGTTCAACCAAAAAAAAATGTTATAATATGCATTTGTGGGGAAAGAGGAAGAGACTGTAGGAAGAAAAAGGAGAGGAGAAAACAAAGAGTTGACAACTGTTGAATCTAAGTGGAGGTATTCGCTGTTCTACTGTCTTCTTGGCTAGTTTTTATGTTTTCATTATAATAATTGGGCGGGAGGGGACTGCAATCTATGGTATTACTGACAATTTCTGTGAAAAGTATTGCAGGCTTCTGCCTCTGTAACATCAATACACCAGCTTATTATTTGGGGGGAAGGCATGAATGGAGGGGTAGAACATGAAGTCTGAAACACACATCACTGTTTGCACTATGGTTCCTCCAAGCTGATATGTGAGGAAGATTCAAACACTAGTGAGCTGACTTGGAAGAGGACTACGATGGGCACAGCACTGATTCAATGTGACACTGTCCTGCTTCTGAAGCTCACAGCCTAGTACATAAGGTAGGTTCCTGGGTGAGGTAACAGGCAGTGGTGGCTACAATCCAGAAAAGGGTAATTCTGTAAACTCTAAGCCCCAGTACTGGTGTACTTGCAAGACGAAACCTATGTGTTAGGAATTGATGAGGATTAAATAGGGCACTGTATGCTCTGGGCCTAGCACGTGGGACTCAAGGGCTAAATACATATTAGTCCCCCCACTGCCTTTCTTTTAACAGTCATCTTAACACTCTGAATTTGCAAAAACAGTTTCAAACAAAGCTTCTCAAAGTAGGAAGTCGTGTGCAAAATTATGAGGCCCCTTTATATAAAAATTAAATCAGTGAGGCAAAGATAAAACACCTATTTACAATTACTCTTCCTTCTTCACCATTCCCAGTGCTCAAGACATCAATGCTCCATCAGTCATACTGTGTGCCATCTTCATGTCTACTTCAACTCATCTGCAGATCCAACATTCAATGAGTTGTTCACTGTGAGCAAATATTCTTCCCATGTAGGTCTGAATTCTAAAACTTAAAGATTAGTCTTCATTTATGTATTGATAGCACTGGCCACACTTTCTCCCAAGCTCTCAATAATGGTTCGATTTCAAGTGAATTTTAAGTATACAATGTATGAAAATATTTTATCTTAATTTTAGTAACAGGCCTCAAAATTCTGTAGTGTCCTGCATAATAGATCAGCTTTTTGCAGGAAATCTCCTCCGTAAAAACATTTCATCTTCTGACTAGCAAACTTGTTACATGGGTTAATCAATGAGGGAAAATTTAAACAAAAATATTTCATTTGAGTGACTTCTGTCAACAATGAACTTTAATTAGCAAGATTAATACTATTTTTTATGACTTCCCTGCCATAAAACAGTACCATTGTGAAAATTCAGTTCATGTGTATATCACACACAAATGTACACATCATATTTTATGGATAAGTTTAATATAGAAAGTATTAAGTGGCTACCATTTACAACCCAATCTAAGCATTGACCAAGGACACACAAAAGTGACTGGCAGAGAGGTCAGGAATTATGTATATAAATACTAATAAATCATTGCTCTTGGCCCAAACAATCTCTATTAGAAGGGCCACCCTTCAGACCTATAGTCCTAGGACCTCTTATTTCCCCACACCCCCAAACCTGAGACCCCATGTAGTCAACAAGCCTACCATAGGGCATAACTAGCCCTATAATGACAAGGCTGGTCTTTCAGAGATTATTTCTGCAATAAGAAGTGAGTCAGGGTTGAGAATGCTTAAATTCAACACATGTCACTAAAAACATCAATGAGACACAACTTGGGGACATACAGAATACAGTTGGGGAAACGGCAAGATAATATGTGCTAAACAGCAGTGCCAGTCTTAGGACTTAGGTTGCAGTCTTCAATAATTAAGCAAAGTCATGTCCTACTTAATGTGCACAGAATCCTTAACCTCTCTGGGCCTCACTTCTCTGTAAAAGGAAAGCTGAGCTCTATCTGAGTTTTTCAATCTTTATGACATGACACTAAAAAGATGGGTGAGGGTCAAGGGTCAGGGCTGCCTCGGGCTACATAAGTACATGTTCTTTAGATACCCACTGGCTTATCTGAAACCTTCTATAATTTTGCATTTCATTCCACAGCATGCTTGAAATTAACAAAATGTCCCCCTAACCATCTACACTCAGGCTGAATTTCCTCTGTGGCTGAGAATCTCTCATACACCACTAGCCCAAAGATCCTATTAATTATGAGCTGCTGATAGCTTCTTAGTGAAGGCCCAAATCACTGGATACCTTGTGCTGAATGAAAACCTTGAGTGCTTCTAGTGAAACACTGGCTCTTTAGAATTTTCCTGGTTTATAAAAACAGCAGGATGAAGCATGGTTCTAATTAAAGAGTAAGCTATATTTAATACAAACATGCCTACACCAAATTTGGACTCCAGGAACAGTGCACACACACGTGACTTCTACAATTACCCAAGTTTGTTTCTCACATTCTTCCTAGTGACTCTGGCAGCCTATTCAAATCAATTAAGGTAATACTAGTAATTTATAAAGTAACATTGATCTATAAAATTTAGTTTAAAAGTTATAAATGATGGGAGAAAAAGAAACCAGTTGTCTGAGCTATCTTTCCTAGACCTAAAATGTACTGAATATTCAGTCTCAATCTGTTTTTTGTTTTCCAGCCAACTTACACATAACTATTAAGAAAAAAATAAGTTTAGGTAAGAATTTATAAACCAATTTAAAAAACAAACCAGTAAACAACTGTTGTCTTTATTTCTTTGCCTAATACACCACAGAATCATTATCTCATAGTGTAAGATGACTTACAGAAACATAACTGCAGCTATTCCGCAGAACAAAGTCAAGGACACAGAAGCCACCTATTTTCTATTCATTTATTACTATTGTTATTAATTATAATAATTATTAATATATGTGATTTTTTAAGGTCTGACTCAATTCTAAAAATAACGAATGTGATTTACCTCAGAGGTTAAGCCTGGTCTTACAACTTGTGATTTAATTCAGAAAATGTCCCAAATTTAATGACCAAAACAGAAAATAGTGAAATTGTCTTAATGTGGTAAGTAAAGGCTTCTGGCACCATCTTCCTGGGGGTGGAATCTGAATCTTAAGAGCCCATAACCTATGTTCAACAATATATCCATGTTCAGAAAGGTATCCCAATTCATCAGGTAATAAAACAAAAACACTAGATTTATTTATAACAGAAACCTGGATTATTAACCAAAGGTAAGTGGCAAAATATCTCATAGGTTTTCCAAACAATGAGCTACTTAGAGCCTTTAAAAACCACCTTTACAAAGATCAGTTAACAAGTTGAAGGAGGGAAAGCATAACATGAATATAAATAGGTATCTATGCATGGTATGAACACCAATTAGAAAAAAATAGAAATAACTGATAGTACAACAACTGATTTTTTCTATTATGTACAACCCTTTATTTTCAAAACTTAAGAAATGTCACTTTGTAATCAGAGAAATTCCTAAAATGCTTCGAAAACAGACTCAGAAAGTTTGGGCCCTCCTTTGAGTATTTTATGATGAAGTTTTACTCTGTCTTAAATTATATGGGGACTCCACTTTAAATTTTCATCCTTCTTTGACTATAATCAAATGCTTTCCTGTCCTTTTTTTGATCTTCAATAAATTAAACAGAACCATTCTAAAATATGAAGATCTTTAAAACTTTAGTTCAGTTCCTATTTAATTCTTCCTAATCTTAATTAAACTTTTAAAGCAAAGGCAAGGCATAAAATATAACCAACACTTCAGAGTTCTAAGAAATACATGTTTTGAAGAGATATGCAAAAGTTTCAATAGCACAAATATTTGGTATTCCATAACCAAAGGACTATTCTAGGATTCATAGAACCCAAAGGAGCTCTCGCTTGTCTGCCCAGTCTTCAGCAGCCTTACTACTGGGGCAGAGCAAAGCTTCCTCTTTGCTCCAAAACATACAAATGCTTTCTGAGTTTTTCCTCTTTATTAGTTAATAACCCAAAAGCAAATAAAGCCAAAATCTGAATCTTCACACTAAATTCTAATTCAGTTCAAACTTAAGAGCAAAATAAGATGAACTCCTAGTAGGAGTAAGTAAAGTTATTTGGTTGATAAATTCAAGTTTCATATAGATTAAAGCATGAATATTTAAAAGAATAATTGAAAATGGAAGGCAAAGACTAGTTTGTTACCAAAAGAAAAGCACAATCAAAAGTTCTATAAAATGAAAGTTGTGCACTCA